GACCTAGTTGTAATGATGTGTTTAGAACCTGTTAGCGTTACCCCCTTTTCTCAGGACACGTAAAATATCCTATTCTTGTTTTAATCACACACCTTATTTTAGGCTTCTAACACAAAACTACTACTACTACTACTACTATCGAGATGAGAAAGTGCGATAGTGAAACTCAACTGCAGGTTTTAAGACTCATTCCTGCAGCAACTCATATCAGTAGCTGGTATATTTTGAATTCAACTTAATATGATGTAGGAATTGGCTTGGAAATATAATGACAGCGTGAAGGCTCCACCTGAAGTTGAAGGGCGGCATCTGAACCCTCGAAAATTCTGCGGGCCACTCCCTTGTTTTGTTTGCTCATCACATCCAGAAAGGAGTAATCCACATCGTTTCCAAATCCGAGACAGAACATAGACATGTTTCCTCCCATGGCAGAATGAACATTGGTCTGAATGGTCGGTAGATGAATCTCTCCTTCAAACGCACGGGTACAACAAACAAATTAAATGTGCACTCACACAAATATACGGCGGGTAATACTGTATGTGCACACTCACCATTATATGGCATTCCATCTGTGAGTAAAATAATCATATCGACGCTCCTCTCTGGAAGATTCTTCTGCTGCCTGTCTTTGATCAGCATGTCAACGCCTCTCAAAACAGCATCATTGATATTAGTTCCTTGGAGGAAAAAAGTAACAAATCAGTTACTTTTCTCTTTTAAAATGACATTTAGCATTAAAGTTGTATGACTTGTTTTGCCATTAACCTCCTCTATCGCTTATGTTTCTGACGTAATCCATGCCTTCAGCCACATTTTCCTTGGTTGCTTTGCTGAGTGATTCCCTCCAAGGTTCGATACGATCATCAAACTGGATGAGGGCAAAGTGGTCCTCTTCGTCGATGTCTTCGAGGATGGCCAGCATTGCCTCTCGTGTCTGCAAGGAGTAATAAGGTCAAGGGGTCAGAATACTTGTATGTGCATGCGCTGCTCAATAAAACAGATAAATGTCGAAACAGACCCTCACCTGTATCATTTTTGTTCCCCGCATTGATCCACTCTTGTCAATCACAAACACTACGTTCTTTGGGACTCTGGGCAGGTCAGGTGGAGCAAAGAAGTGCACGAAGTATCCGTTTACAATCTGAAGAGATGAGAATCAATGAGCGGTAATGTGCAGGAAAGAAGGAAAAAGCCAAAACTGCAGGAATTTCTCCCTCTAAAACGTTTTATTATATAACTCAGTCTCAAGAATAATAACATGAAAGTGAATCTGAATAGTTTTGCATGTGATGCCTGATTCAAAAAGGTATTACTCAGCAGATGCTGAGTGTTTGTTGACAGCTGACCTGAACGTCCCCGAGACTCTGTGCTCGCTTCACGTCATACTTGATGATAAAATCTCCGTCAATGAGTGTTCCGTCGCAGTCAGGACACTTCCTCTGCTGGTCCATCGTCGGCGAGAAAGAGATGTGTGCCTGACAAAGGGGTAACAACAGGACTAGTTGGCTTACTCCGGCGTCTTGAATTAATCGAGTTTATTAAGTGTGGAAAAAGAAGTGAGGATCTCCGGAACGGATCAGAGGAAACTTCCTTAAGGCCTGTTGTGTTGTGTACCTTGTTGTCTGTGACGGTTTTCTCCACCAGGGGGAGCAGCTCATTTGAGAGGAAAGTTGCATGGGCATCCACAAAAGAAAGGCCCTGAGGCTCGTAGATGTTCGCCACTATCTGTCTCCACACACACACACACACACACAAATGCACAGAAAGAGGCAGATATCATTTGTAAGGGTAAATAACTCATTCAGAATATCTGAAATGAACCAAGAGTGATTTGAATGTGGATTCACCTGAAACTCGTGCACCGGTTGTTTGGGTTTAAGCCGAGTCAGTATCTCATACTGGCCTAGTTTCCTCTGGAGGAGCTCCTCGTAGGTCAGAACGAAAGTCACGTTACTTTCAGCCGCGACGTTCACAGACACTGAGAACTTCTCCATCGTCCTTCCAGAAGCTCTGCGATGAAACACAGACACCAATGGATTTCATAAATGATCTGCCCTGAATCAGGAAAGGTTGCGACACAGAATGCTTTTTTTTAAATTGCGTGTTTCATACTGTGTTCATTTTTCATCTGGACCGACTCACTTAACCAGGCCGGCAGTCCGTCCAGAGGAAACAGCCTGATCATACTGTTTCTTGGCTTTCTCTTTCTCCTTCACCTCCCCAACGTACACCTCACCATCAATTTCCCTGTTAGGATCAAACATGGAGAGTTTAATAAACCACAGCGTAATGGAGAAAACTGAACTTTAGTCCATGACGGTCAAACAAAGATGGTCATTGTGCAAGCAGGAATGTTGACACAGGGGAAATCAGGCTGCAGACACACTGACATGCTGAAGTTGACGATGAAGGCCGTCTTGGGCAGCTCCACTTCGAAGAAGATTTCCTGGGAGAAGTTTGCCTTGTTCAGAGCCTTGGAGGTCGTGACGGTGTGGGCGAAGCGAGACGTCACCGTGCAGTCCACCTTGACGCTGTGCACCTCCACCTGGAACAGAAGGAGCGGAAAGGGGTTGAAACACTCGGGAAAGCCTCCGACCACAAGAACTTCACACGCAGCCTTAAACCAAACCGGTCATGTGGCCAAAGTTTGCTGCCAATCAAACTGTAACACAACTTCGACGTTTTCTTTTTCCAAAGGACATTAGTCACTGATTCCACAGTGGTAATGTTGTGCGAGAGCGATTCGGTGAGTCAACCCTTGGTGCGGTTTTGTTCAGACGGGGATAGAGGGAACATTCTAAAATTAAACTCCTTTTCAGGTTTTTTTTGGTCATTAGTATTGACCTGTAAATGAATCTGCCAGAGAAGGGCCGATATATTGATTGAGTTTTTTCTTATTTAATTTACTACTTTTTGGGTCTGCTCCTTTAATTTGCTGAATACCATTACAGGATTAATACAAATGCATTGAACTGAATATTTCAAATCCCTGTGATCATTAATAGAAACAAACAATACTCATGGTTTATTTTCTTACCGTGGCCTCTGTTGTACTTCTTTTCTGTAAGAAAGAAAAGAAACAAGGAGGAGATTCTTCTTGAATTTGAACAATCATCAATATTATATCACATTACCTAATAGTAATAGTGAATAACTTCATTTTTCTCACTTTAAAGTTTAATCTAAAAGGACTGTTTATTCGTAAATTGCTTGAAGTTGCGTACCTGCAGGGATATTGCAGCTCCTCTTGTTTCCTTAAATAAAAGTTCAGCAGTCTTAATCAACATGATATTAAGATTAAAAAAAGCATAACATTCTGTGTATATGTACACGTAGATGAGAAGCTACAATTAATAATGTGATGGTAAAACCAAAGAGAGAATTTAGAAAAAAATATAATCAAAATAACTTTTGCTGTAGAATAATGTTTTTTTCCAAAAGCCCATGAAAGGTCTGCGTGTGAAGTTACCTGCAGAGCTTCATGACCCCTGGAGACGACCAGAGCCCCCCGGCCGGGCAGCAGGAGGCCGGCGCTGCCCCACAGCAGCAGCAGCAGTCCAACACCCTGCAGTCCAGACATGACCAAACCTCTACTAAACAGCCTTTGACTTCAGTGCTAAGGAAAAAGGCTCTCTGTCCAGAAAGAGGAGGGACAAAACGTGTGCTGGGGTTTGCTTTGGCATGCAGCATTTGACCAACAGACCTGAGCTTTGTAGGAGGCCATGAGGTGCACACAGTGAAAATAGTTCTGCTTTAGGGGGGATTGTGAAATTTTGCGATTTGACCATCCCCTGTTTCAGCATTTAACATATAGCAATAGTACAAGTAATAACCACATTTTATTTAGTTTAAATACATAGTATAAAACGTCCCAGCAGTAAGTCATATCTGTGTTGCAGTGTCTCAATTATACATTCTCTAACTAACTTGGTGACTCTTCGTCTAAAACTCGTGGTGAGGCGCAACACACCCTCACAGATCAGAAACTCTCAGTAACACACACACCCGAACGACGACGGGTTAAAACACGTTAGTTCATACCTTTGTTTGACCATTCCATTGGGTGAAACCCTCCCTCCCTGTCCTAACTGCGTAACGATCTTATGGCAAAGACTCTTCGGTCTCCATATCTCTATAATCATGCATGCTTGGAATGTTATTGTGTCTGACCTGACTGTCTGTTTACCTGGATACAACTATAGCTATACCCTCTACCTACACAATTACCTAGAGAGGATTATAACAAAAATATATGTTGGAATATACTTTTTTTTTTAACTACAAGTTTTTACATGTATCACAGTGTCTTTTACTGTTTTGAATAATCAGCACATTTGCTCGCGGCCAACTTTCCCTGCTTCATATTCGTGTTTACTTTATTCCCCATTTGCTGGGAGTAGAGGCGTGCCAGTAAATCAAACGGACTCTGGTCTGTTTTCTGGAGTTAAATCGTGCACCAGAAGCTGTTGACTGTATTAGTTGTAGCTTTGACCCACAGGCATAGTGCACTCAGAAGAATCAGACCAGTGTGATGTGACACTGGGACATATAAACTTCACCACATATACGTTCTTTAAAAGAAAATCTGTGCCCTGGTGACCAAGTCATCGTCTACCTCTACGAGGTTTTGTTTAAGGGGGCGGAGAGCGGCACGGGGCAAAAATCTCACACTTGATGGTTCAAAAACTTGAATCATCTCTCATCTTGCTGAATTAACCCACCGAGTGTCCCGAGGACAGAAATGAACTCTGTGCCCGACCGTTGCCCTGCGTCTGTATTTGTCAGGGATCAGTGTTTGTGGTAACTTGATGTACGCAAAAGGTGAGCTTAATATAAAAGGTCTTTCCCAAAGTCCCCTTTCATTTAAGTTCATACCAGGGTTTTAGTTGTGTACAGTAATAACAAACAAAGTCAAATCAGCAGTAACAAATTGTTTGACGACTTAAAGGATAAAGGAGCTGAATTTCTCCATGTAAAAATGACCAGTAAAAATAACATTTCAATAAAGGGGGAATAATTTATTTAGGAAAAATGTTCAGTTAAAAAAAAAAAAAAAGTTAAAAAAAATCTGTCAACACTGATAATAAATCTCACATTTCACACACAGTTCATCCGCCACATTACAATCCAATCCCCGACATCCGCACAAATGACCAAGTAACTAAACTGCTTGCTTAACAATATTGTCGCTCAATATACTGGCATAAACAGTATGCAATCTATCTCTCATATATCATCGTATCTCCACGTAATGCAGCATCGCCATCAGAAACCTGAAGACGGCCGCGTGTTTCTTCAGCGCTCCTCTTTGGCCCTGCAGTGTGTCTACTTGCTGAACACACTGGCTCCAGGAGCTTTGGCAGCAGCAGCAGGTTGTCCTGCTCCCAGAGCCGTCTCTGTCCCCGTCCTCACGCCGCTGAACACAGACGGAGCCACTTTGCCCATGCGTTCTGAGCACAGAGGGGAAACACAGCCAAGGCTCATCAGAGAAGAAAGAGCTCGACTGCTCATCCTCCACCGCGGTATCAATAACGTGAGAGCAAAAAAATATCTGCAACAGCTGTATTTGTTTCATCCTTCTGCTGGTCTTGTGTTTCGGGGGCTGCTCGCTCGCCAACATTCCCAGTAAAAAGAAAAATGTGTATTTTCATCTGTTCTGCAGACAATCCATTTAGTCTTTTTATGTATTTTGACTCTGACACACACAAAATACGTATGTGGACGGGTAAAATTGAAAGGCCACGGTATCTGCAAGTGGAGCAAATGCTACAAGTAGGCTACAAGTAGGCTAGACTCAAACCGCATGCCAGAGCCATTATGGTATCTGTGACAGCACGGAGTGAAAATCTACCGGTTGACAAGATCTAGCAACTTCCCTGGTGGTCTAGTGGTTAGGATTCGGCGCTCTCACCGCCGCGGCCCGGGTTCGATTCCCGGTCAGGGAACGACTTTTTACCACATAAACTCACGAAGTGGTGATGTGGATGCAAGACCGTCATTGCTGTTAACAATGTTTTAGCTGGAAACTGAACTCTTCATGCGAAGGATTAATAAAAGACTTCCCAAATAATACAAATCGTGCCTGCATCAAAAAATGATTGTAATTTACGTTGGATTTAAATTAAAATAGCATATTTATCAGTGAGGACATGCTTTATGTAAGGAAGAACTGCATGAATAACTTATCTACAGGGAAATAGATCCCTTCAATTCACTTCATACAGTTCTAAAAAACAATATGTATTTATTTCTTTATTGCTTATCATTTCAAACATTTATTCATTTGGTCTATTTAACTTATTTACATCTGACATGGTGACAGGTCACATGTCTTATTTTTCAGAGTCAGAGGAAACAACATTAACGAAGGGCTTTACTCACCACACTCCACCATGACCTCATAGGTCTTACTCTTGACTTCGCCCTTCAGCCCCAGCTTGCTGCGAGCGCCTTTCAGGTCCTCCTCCTTCATCGGGGGACGCTTCTTCTTCTTCATCTCGGCTGGCTGGAGTGAATAACAAAGATGGGAAGGTTATGACTGTTACGGAAGAAGCAAGAAAGCAGCCGGTCCGCCTCCCAGCACTGTGTTCCAGTTCAGTAAATACCAAACTTACCTGTGACATGGTGATTGAAGATGGTGTTCGGAGTCCACAAACCCACTGAGACGGATATTCGCTGTTTGCTTTTGTGGCTTCGGTGTCCCCCAGCGAGCTTTATATATAGTCCTACTTTAGACCCCGGGAGTGAGTCAGGCCCCCTGTCCCTCGGCCTGTTGTCAGTGTGTATTATTAGGTGTGACGTGAGCGATGGTACAGCTGCAATGGGTCTCCCTCCTTTTACCGATGAGGTCACAGGCCAACAGCTGATCATTCAGGGCCCTTCTTAAGTGGGTTTTTGTTTTCTCTCTCCCCAGTCTTGCCAAAATGTTGTCGTGGGACTTGTGTCCCTCAGCGCGTTGCTACAAGTCGATTCGAGCACGTCTCTTTGGCTCCCGTAACGAGCATTTCTAAATGAGGGCCGACCCACAAAGCTGTCGTCCGATTTGCACATTTTAGACCAATCTAAAACTTAAATGTTGGGAGAAAAATGGAGAAATTTAGTATTTGCGGCAATTGCTTAATCTTCTAAATCTGTGTGCGTCCAGAGGCAATACTCTCGGAAGGAAAGACCATCCTGGGAGTGTGATGCTTCTTAACTTTCGGATTCTCTCAGCGTCGCCCAGCTTGTAAAACAGTGAGTCAGTTACTCCGTCATCGCACAGCAAACAGCAACACCTCAATTTGACATTGTGGCAGCAGGAGTTCGGACTCCTCGGTATTGCCTGGACTGTCTGCCTCACTCGAATAAGAGGAAAAAAACCTCAACTGGTCACATAAATATTATACAGTATGAAGGGAAAGTTACGAAAAGCCACATTTTCATCAATTCCCCTCTTACTGATTTTATGGATCATCAGCTAGGTTATGATGACTTAATCATTTTGTAGATACATTTCCAAAAATGATTTTTCGGAGCAAGCATGATCAGAATATTATTTGAAGGCACATAATCTATATGGTCTATTGTTCCCGTTGTCTTTGGGAGATTCCACTTGAAACATATAAAGAGTAATAGGAAAGGCAGAGACTCACAATGACGCCTGGCGCTAAATTAGTGTCTTCCACTTGTAAGAAGTGACCAGATGTATTTTTAGATGTAGAATCATTCATGACTGAAGGTCGGATGGCTCCAGTGATGAGTGCACCTCTAACCAAATGTGTAGTGTGTGTGTGTGTGTGCGCGCATCAAAGTGCCGGCTCCAGTGGTAAAGAGCAATACACACAATTATTTGTGCGCTTTCGATCCCCCGCATCGATCTGATGATGCTACGCGTTTTGTGTACGGACGCAGGATGAAACTGTCAGGAAGGGAGAACTTAATCATCCATCATGATAGTGTTTCACATTCTTTATTGGAAAAGCATTCGTAGTGATAATTTACCCCACACCACTTGCCATCGTAGTTTCACGTCGCTAAATACATAAAGCCCTCTTTGTCCCAGCGGAGGAGAAATTGACCACGACTGCTTCCCTTTCCTCCCTCAAAATGCTCGTGCGATTTATTCCCTGTCAACGGGTCAAACACATCAAGCTGAAATCATCCTCGCCATCCCCGCGCTGCGCCTCGGTCACAGTACAAGCCCCTCTCCGTTCAGTAGAGACAGGACCGGCCATCCCGCCAACTGCTGCAACCCTTGGACACATGCATGCAGCACACGCCAGTACATGCAGGTATACTGTATATTTACACTGGCAACCGCAAATGCTATTACACAGGCTCACTCGCCCTCTCTCTCTTTCTCACACACACTCACGCTCACACACACACACACACTTTCTCCCAACTATCTGGTTCACAGTCACTGAACAGTTGTGGTCGATGCATGTCACATTCTTAACATCAGAGCCAGCTGAATGCTGCTTCATGCCTGAACATCTGGAGCTCTGAATAAAAAGTCCCAAAATGTATATATAAGAAAAAAAAGAAAAAACACCTGCTGGTATTTTCACTCAGGCACATTATTGTAACAAAAACACAAAAATCCCACAAACACAAAAGGAGAGGTTAAGCTTTGATAAATTGGAAATTGTGCAAGAGATGGTTCCCACATCTACTCTCCTCGTTGGATTTAAGGAATGAACACTTTTGGGACAAGCACAGTCACCTTTTTGGCCCAAAAACTAAGAAAGCAAAACAGACTCGTACAACTTGAAATGAGAGCAAAGACAAAGAACGCACAAATCAGTGAAACGGTCCCAAACAAACACAGACGGCAGACACACGCTGAGCTGATACCAGTGAGGTACTTGCAGTCCGACAGGCGGTAAAAATGGAAGGTTTGTGCTCTTTGACATGGTAACAGTACACAACAGTGACGCGTGTGACTGGAAAGAGTTCTGCGTTGCATCAATGCAGTGATTCAAGCACCCTGACGTGATGCGCTTCTTAATTAGAGGCGTGTCTGTGAACACCCTCACACACAAACACACACACACACACACACGTATAGGCATCCCAGGCCGTGGTGGTACATCTACATGAGGAAACAAAGGTAACAAATGTTCAGGAATACAATCACCACACGATAGACGATCACATGAAACAAACCCACTGAACAGTTTTGCATGATGTTTGGCCGGTTAGGCTCACACACACAGACACACACACACGGGTCCAAACAGTATCAGACAAGTGTTAAGGTTATTCCTATTATGCATACAGGAAGGATTTAACAATTATTTTCAAAAACACAACACTTCACCACAGGAGTGTCACATCAAGATGAAACAGTGTTCCGATGTACCTGCTTTACCGTAAAGATATCTCCCAGCGTGTTAAGTATGTGGTCAAGTTAGTTCCTTCAGGAGCCGACAACAGGAGGGCTGTAACTACCGCACACTCTTGCGTCAGAGGGCATCTTGAGTCTGAAAGGATTGAGTCCACTCCTAAAGCTGACACTGGATCAGTGGAGCGGCGCCTGTGTGGGGCCCACAAGCGGGAGGACATGTGATCGGAGCCGTTCAGCGAGGCACACGGCTCAAACCGGGATCCCCATGCGCAGCTTCTTCTTCTTCTTCACGGCCTTCAGGCCGGTGAGGCGCCGGACGTCGTCTTCGTCGGACTCGTCCATTTCATCGTCTGCTGAGAAGAGGATCTAGAAAATGATCAGGGAAGAGGGAAGCAGACGAAGAGTCGGTCAAATCTGCCGAGTGGCACTCAGCTTTGTGTACCGCTAGAAAGGAACACTTTCTTTCACAAACTGTGAAAGGAAAGACCAGCCGGAACTCCACAGAAACGTAGGTGGGTTCGTAGAAACATTCAGCGTTCAACGGCTTCAAGTTGTGACACAGATCACAGGTACACCGTTAACGCTCAGACATCGGATCATAACGGGGGATGAGAAGCTTTCCTGAAAGCTGCAACATTTGTAAAACTTTGCTGTGATGAATAAAAGGGTCCAGCGATTTACTATTTCACTTCCATTAACTCAGAAAAAACTATTGCAAAAGAAATGTAACAGCAGAGTTGCCCTCTCAGTTCTCGGGGTACAGCCTTCAGAACAACCTCAGAACAGCCAAAAGAAAGACTGCCAGAACGGAAATCAAATAATGTACCTTCTTCCTGTGGGTTGAAATGAGAAGTGGTGTGTGTGCGTTTCCTGTTGTATGCATAACCTATAGGCACTTCTCTATATTGATTAAGAGAACATTTGCACATAGCACACATAAAAAGGAGAGGACAGAGAAAAGGGACGTGTGGTATATTTATAGTCATCCAATTGAGTCACTTTCTTGCTAATGTTACATTTCAACCAAATAATGGCAAAAAAAAAAAACTCGAGCTAGCCAGGAGTCGAACCTAGAATCTTCTGATCCGTAGTCAGACGCGTTATCCATTGCGCCACTAGCCCTCTGGTCTCATCTTGCTGCTGAAAGCAGTAACATCTGTGTGTGAGCGCAGCGCGCCCATCCCCCACCACCGCAACCACCGCCGCCACGCTGAGAGCTGCTCCCCAGCAGCCAGCGAAACGGCCCGTGAAGCAGGCTTTTGTTTGCACTGCTGTGACCATTCAAATGTTAAAAAGCCTTGTGAAGCAGCTTCACATACTAACGTGTAGCCGGCTGGAGAGAAATGGAAGTAACATTCAAATCCTTCGACACAATGAGCCAACTTCAATAATATCAGCAGTTAAGATGAGCAAATGAAAATTAAACATAGGTTCCTCCTTCTGGGACTGGAAGTCACTGGACTGCTGATGTTTGGCCTGAAAGCTGAATGTGCCCAAATTAGGGGATGACATCCACAAAACAAGGACCCATCTGTTATTTACCTGCGGTGCTTCTCTGTCACAGAAGTTCTTGTGCAACACCTATAATATCACATTATCAGATACCACAAAGTGCCACAGGAACAGCACAAGGCAGAACGTGGTACGGAGATTACAGCAAATGCCTTTAGAACATACAGAGACGTCCCCAGTCAGGGATCAGCACATTCATTCATGGTAATTCACTATTCAAACACGCTGCGTATCAAACGTCCCGAGGAAATATTTGACGGAGAATTCACAAGGATTTAGAGAAAGAAAACTGCAGTGCTCAACAAAGCCGGCTGAATGGTTTTGTAACAAAAATAAACGATGAGCTGTGTGATTATAATTTATTACACGTTAAATATGAATACAATGAAACTGAATGCTTGGTGATTAGGATTCACCCTCACTCATATTTATCAACACAGCTCCCACTAATACATGACGAGAGGAAAATAATCCTCCACAATGGTCCACTTCAAACGTCGCTCCCGTGAGGGATTATCTCCTTTACTTTAATAAAGGACTCGTCTGCTTTACAGGCTTAGAAAATAACTGGGGGACCATGAACTGGGCAACCGTAACACATTTAAAGTTCATCTTCAGAGAGTATTCGTATTCAATGGTCCACCTCGGAGGTGTTGATAGCAGGTATACACATTAGCTATGTATATATTATTAGTGATATAATACATCATCAGTGTTTGGCTGTGATCTTTTCCTACCACCGATGTGTCCGCATTACGAGACGTACCTCAGACTCCGAGTCGTCGTGGGACTGCGCTCGTCTGTAGCGCACCTTGCTGTTGCCCCGCGAGTCCTCCTCTCTCTCCTCCAGCTTCGCTTTTGTCCTGTGCTTCTTCATGAGAAAATTATCTACCACCCAAAACATGAGCGCCTGAAAGGAGAAACAGAAAGTGCCGGCGTGAATGACATTGATCCCCGTGCGGATGTAAAATAGAGGATCTTTTGCAGAGCAGCCTTACGTTGATGAAGAAGGGAACGATGAGCATGACGATGGCAAGTTCCAGGTCGGGGTTCTCGATGGGGTTGAGGAGAGAAAGCTGCCACAAAAAACACAAGAACGTATACAACACGCACACAAAAGCACACACATTAGCATATATACACACAGCACTCAAAGCCTTGGATTAAGAGGTCAAAGGTCAGTGGGAGCAGTGATAAAATAAAAGGATGGTCTACTGGAGCACACACTACAACTTGGAATCTGCCTGAAAAAATAAAAATTCAAATGAGCATTGTAGACGGTGCTAAATAGAAATAATGACATAGTTCAAACTAACTACTGTTATATAGTTATTAATACGGTTTCTGCAGAGCACTACTCAGGCATCTTATGAAGCTTCAACAGCTGTCCTCTGCACAGCTGTCACCACGCAGACCAGGAAACCCGCCTTGGACGTCCCAAGTGGTTTTATGGTTAAGCGTCGGCGCTCTAACTGCAGCACAGGACACGTGGGATGTTGCGCAATATTAAAGTCATGTTTCCCACTAGTCTACACCGGTGGAGGTGAACACCTTAGAGCACTAACGAAGCCAGCGGGAAACTCAGGATAAGTAAATATAGATGGAAGCAATGCAACCGCTACAGTAATTACCACATTTCAGGGGGGAGTTAAGGATTAACAAGTTTTGTTGGGGGTTAATAAGTGGGCTGGCGAGGTACTTTTGTGTTGAACCTAGAAAATGACTTAATCGCCTCACTATTCATCTGCAAAAAAAAGATTGACCCACTGTGCTCCTACTACATTACCATTAAAACAGGGAGTCCAAAGAAAATACCTTGAGGTTTGGCTAAACAATCACCCTCAGAGTTGAGGGCTTATTCCCAGTCAGACATTAAAGTCAGACTTAAGGATACACAAGATACAAAGATGATGGAGGGTTTACTTGAAAACGTTGTGCTAAATCAAAGCTTTCTGGACTGATATGTCAAGTCTTGTGTTGTAATGTTGTTTTTGTTATTTAGGATTTCAGATTGAAAACGTAATAAGGGACCAACTTGTCATTGTCTGTGAGGAAGAGTAGGTGAAATTCCTGCAGGTCCCCAATGTCGACAGTGTGAGTGTGAGGCACCTGGAAGTTGTAAGTACCGCAGGAACAATACTGCTCTCCAAAACGTGGTTTGGACGTTCTGATGTTTTGTCAGGGGTTCAATTCCCGGTCAGGGAACAGATCTTTACCAGCCTTGAATATGCCGTGTGGCATCCAATGTAAAAACACTTCTTTCACTTCAAGAAAGGTGCGTGCACATAGGAAAGCAGCTTACTGCGTGAAATCTATGCAGCGAGTTTACATTTTGACCAACTAATGGGGTCAAAATCCAGCTAATAATAACATAATAAAAAGAGTGCGGCAACACTTTTGGATCATCAAGAAAAAGATCATGACATTACAGCGAAGTCTTTTTCAAAAAATGGTTTAACTTCATTTTTTCTGACCTTCTTCCACTCGGGGATGAGGAGGACCAGCATGATTAGGACTTTCTCAAACACCATGATGAGGATGTAGAGGATACACTGGCCCAACCAAGCTGTGCACTGCACTGGCTCGCCTGCACACACACACACACACATACACACAGGAAAGACAAGTTTCTGTGAAAAGAAATTTGCTTAGCTAGCTGTACAGTTTGTGAAGCACAGATCCGAGTTTACTGCTTCAGTGACACACAAAGTGGCAGAAGAAGAAATGACACTGCAGCACTGCATCACGCAGGTCAGACAGCTACTGCCCCCCATCGGGCTTCTCAGGCATTTCAGGAATGTTCCAGAGTTCCCACTTGACAGTGACACACGCAGGGTCCTCACCGTATTCACCGAAACGCAGGGAGTCCCACTGCCTCCACTCTACAATCGCACTGACGGCTCTCACCCCAGCGTAGATGAGCAACATGCCCAGAGAGGCATCCAACAGGAAGTTAATGAGGTATCTGAGAGAGACAGAGGAGTAAATGTCATTTGAAGTGGTAGTGGGAGCTTTCCTACAGGACAACACTATGCTCCGTAGTTGGTAAATCAGGATTGACTCACAGAGAGCAAGGATCCTCCTCTGTAAGGTCTGACAGGTAGACATTAGCAAAGTGGATGAACAGCATCCCAATGGCCTGTTTTGAGGTGTCCAGGAACCTGCAGAGACAGTTGATATGCTTTAGAGGCCCTCCAGCGGGATTCATTGATGCCTTTCTAGAGAAAGTATTTAAAGTTGGCTGAGCCATACCAGATCCTCCAGGGTCTCCGCTCGTGCTTTGGCTCCCTGAAGCGTTTTACTGCGGAGGACAGATTGCACCACAACGGTTTATGGGATTTTAATACAGATCACTCAAACACAGAACCAATCAAACTGAATATCTTTTGTTTGTATTTAACCGAGTTAAATCCCTCGGGCGAGCTGTTATGGGTCCAATGAGCATTTTGTTGGTTTTAAAGCAAGCCGTCTGTTACCTTCAGCAGACAGTTTTATGTGTTGGAAAGGAGGACTGGCATTCCCTTTGCACAGTTCAACCATTACACCACATGGGTGACATCAAGTGATTTTCTTCAACCCCACGTGGAACTGAATCTCTCAGGCTGAACTCAGGCTAATGGCAATATGTTGATGGTCCCAGAGGACAAGCGGGCCCGATAAGAACACGTGACCTACTCTGCTGCACGGTAGCTGTGAAATTATTAATGTTATGCCCATAATTTCAGTTCACTGACAGGTTTACAAGAAACAGATATATTTCCTTCAGACATGGCAAAAAGGGAGGATCAGACCAGTAATATTTCATTGTTACATCATAATCTGACCATATCAAGAAAGATGCTATTTCTAAAATGAGGACGATTGGGCTGCTTGTTGGGATGTTTGGGTAACTAACTCTACAAATACTAAATGTTATGAATGTGTACCTAAATTTGGGGCTTTTCATAAGACATCCCTTTAATTAATCCCTGCATTTAAATTGGTTGACGGCTCACCAGTGTAGGTGAAACACAATAATGGCTTGTTTGTCTGCTATTGCGAACAAAGCTGCATAATGAGAGGCCACCGTTACGATGCTGTGACATCCTCGGGTAAGCTTTCTAACATCAGACACATTATCATTAGAAGATCGTTGTTCAATGCTGGGACACCTGAGCTGGGCCACTACTTCACCTTCTTCACAAGGAGAACCACATCCCCTCTCAAATCTCGCTGTAAATACTGCCTTGATGCGCAATCATTTTCCTCAATTGACTTGACAGGCCAGCAATACTGCGAGCGATTACCTCAGTTTCTGCTTTGAGCACAAGTATGACTTCAGACTGAAACCCGCCCTGTGTGCAGCTGGGTGTGACATGACGGGAAAACCAGAGGCCTTCTCCGTCTGCTCAGAGGGTACGTGGCCTCGAGGGAACGAAAAAGGTTCCAAATGCTAAACATTCCTCATGGCTTTGAAGCTGCTGGGACACAGAACTGAGGCTGCCCTCATGAGGTCACACAGCTGTTGGTGCTGTGCGAGAAGTCGACCCAATTTATGGTCCAGTGTGTGACCGACTGCAAATCAGAAACCCCCCTAGTGAACTGGAACTGCAGGCGCACATCCGAGGGAGCTGCAACGCACATCTTCAATGCTAGAAGATGACTTTTTAGTCCTTCATGACTATTTCTTACAAGCTGATTGAACCTGTGTAGAAGAGAAGTTCAAACATGGATGCATGGAGTTGTAGAGGGTAGTCAGCTTTTATTAAAACCACAGCCAACTATTTCACAAACAGAAGGCGTCTCGTGCATTTCACTTGAAAACACACAAGAAGTGTGTCGATTTGTATCCTTGTTTGGGCCTCACAGCTGATATCAATATCCAACTCGATTAACCGATCGACGCGATTGGACAATCGCCGGGTCACGTCAGTGGCCGCGTGTCACCCTGCCCGGCGGGACATACTCACACATCAGGATGCTGAAAGCCATCATGGCCAGAAGTCCTTGCAGGAAGATCCCGAACGATTCCATCAGGGCGCCATTCTCGCACCCGCGGGTCTCCGGACCTGGAGTCGGGGACGCGGACGTGTTGGCGACGGACGCTGGACCCGCCGGCGCCCCGTCTCCGAGCTGAGGCCGCATGCTGGGTCCACCAACCGCAGCCATGGGACAGAAGAGCTGGATAACGCGTGTCACGGACTCTTGTGTGCTTCTCGATGCTCCCCAGCGGTTGACAGTCAGCTAATTGATACGTTAAGCCGGACGGCGTTCGGCGAAAGATGGTGGCATCTTCTCCCCGTCGAGCGCACACTCATTCTCCTGCTTCAGACATCCACGTCAGCGGGGACTGTTCGGCGATGAATGAAGCCGTCGCCTCAAAAGGTTACTAGAAGTTACAAGAACTGTGAGCTACTCGTTTACACACTGCAACGTTCAGAACCAAATGCTAATGTAGGAGCTCGTGTGCACCGGTGACATTCGCTGGCTCGACCTCGAAAATACGAGCTAACGTTGGTACCAGACACACCGCACAAGCGTGACATGTAGATACTTAAATAGAGCCCAAACGATGCTATCGCGTATTTAAAACGCAGGTCAACCAGAAGGGATATTTTGCCAGAAAAGCAACGTTGAAAGTGAAACGAGGCGCTCCATCGGCTGGTGCTATCGCTGCTCGCCTAACGTTAGCTAGCTAGCGCCAAGCTAAACGCTGAGTTCCAGTAAGCTAGCGCAAGGCTAGTGAAAATATCTTCTGTTTCCGGCGATACAAACTGCGGTTGCAGCGGTTCATTGTAACTTCAGCGTTGGCAAAAAGTAACTTCTCTAAATATATTTAAAAATGAATAATTGCTGGTCACTCGCGCACATCCCTGAACAGCAGTCACCCACTCATGTTGACAGACGTTGGAGCACGTGACCTGCGTAAGCACGAAATGCATGCTGGAATATGTAGGAAAGAACTGCCACCCTCTTGGTATATGAGCGGACGTTTCCCCCTCATACTGCCGTTATGTGTATAAACGTTAATCGTTTTGTATGCAACAGTCCCTCCGTCTTGTTTTTGAGTCGGTAGTTTAGTCACACTGTGCTGCAGATGTTAATAAAACAAAATACCAATATGGGAAGCCTGCTACAATTCATTGTTCACAGTTTTAATGGCAGTCTTTTTAAATCACCGCGATCATTTTTCAAATATGAACTAAAAAGCTGCTCCAAGTAAAAAAAAAGTTTTGTTGCCCTCACGAAAAATGAAACACATTACAGTAAATCACATTACAAGAACTGATGAAATAACTGATTTACAGAAGCAGTTAAAACATAGTCTTGCTTAAAACTGCACATTTATAATTAAGGTAATTGTTAATTAAATGGCTCAAATCAACTGCTGCCAGATTAGTTTTTCTAATACACCACATTTGAGAAAGTTCTGTCAATTCTGTGCAAATATATTGTAGCCTATTTTAAGGGATTTGCACATTGCTTATGCAGTTAATTGCTCAAGTTTTTCTTTTTAATTACCCTGTTGCTCTAAAGGATATTCTATTTACACTATATATAAACATGCACATATTTGCATACCACCATACAGTACATGGTTTTGTTTGTGCTTGTATCTGAGTCCTTACTATGTAAACTGCTCTTACATACTGTAGAAGCTTGAACAATAAAGCAACTTGATCTCTCGCAAGGAAGGCCCCCCTTTTTATCAAAGGGCGTTCTTACAGTTTATGTGCCTGATGTTCAAACTAAAATAACCTTCCTAACCTTGCACTGGGACACTATGACTTATTCCAAAACTGCTATGTACATATCTAGTGGAATATTTCCTCTGGCTTTCAAAGAAAACTATTCGATGCAATTCTAGAACTTTCAATGTGCAAACAGTTTTGATTGCTTAATTAATGGACAAACAATCAATGGAATAGCAATAGTGATACAAGCAAGTCTCTTTTCAAAACTAGAAAGCGTAAGACATAAAGCTCTAGGATTCACCTAGGAGTTTTTTCAGTTAAATTGATTCCGTGAAAAACAAGTGTTTCAATGTAACTGTGCAAACGGTCTCATCCGCACCAGACATGTTAAGCAACTGAAATTAGACTTCAGTGTAAAATACACCAGATCACAAGGCGGACCACCTCATTTCTGACTCCAGCAGACATTAGCAATTGAATAGACACCAAATATATTAGGCTTACTAGTATAACAAGTAAAAGCTGTGATATTCCCTTTAAAGGAGAAAAGGCAACCGCGAAGGGCCACAATGGAAAGAATGTTGTAGCGTTGGCACTCATTTGTCCACATAAACAAAAAGGAAATAAAAAGAGGAGAATCCAAGACACTCTGAAGACAAAATACATTAAGAAGCCGTCATTGGGAAATAACCGAAGACGTTGAACCGTCCTTAATGATGGCTTGCTTTTTTGTGCTTTTCTTTTTTTGTAAAATGTGCTGGAGTTGGTAAAAGGCTTTTACACTTATTTATGATATCAAAATGTCTCCGGTTCTTCTGTCTTTCAGGCCAAACCGAGTGTCTTTCTCATTGAGAGACTTGATCTTTTGTAGCTCTTCTTTGTTCTTTTTTTCAGTGATCACTAGGAGTCACTTTTTCCACCTTCTGCCCATGCTTTCACAACACAATGTTGTACACTCAGGTTTCTTAAGGATGTCCAGTGTTGGAAAAGTAAGAATTACTACAGTGTTTTTCACAGAATGAATAAAGAGAACAGTGTGTAGTCACGTCCGCGTTCATTCCACGCCAGCTACGTTGCAAACTGCTGATAAAAAGCCAGCTTGACCCTCTCAATGTGGTGGCACAGCTTGATGGCCGGTCCGAGCTTCAGGTCCATGCACTCCTGTACTGTCGGGAGGTTCAGCAGCAGCAGTGCCTGTCCGTCAATCTCCTAGGAAAACAATCATTCACATCGGTTTTCTGTTTGTGACCAGGAACACAATACAAGTGCGTGATGCCCCTCATTGCAGTAGAATGGACGGAGCTCTCGTTCTGAGTGGCCATTGAAGTTGTGAGCATTTCTTACCTGATCCAAGAATATCCGCGCAAGTGGTGCACAGTCAGTGGTCCTGATGAAGCGAACCACATCAGTGACGCTCCACTCCAGGGGGCTGGTTTCCAAACACAACTTCTGCGGCGGCTCAATCTTTGAGGTCTGTAAAACCCACAAACCGGATGAGTCAGACAGATTGAGAGGGGATCGCACGGCTCAGGGAGATGAGAAGGTATCACACCGGAACATATCATAAAAGAAGCAATGGCCATTTCAGTTTTGCCGATTTCCTCATTAGCTGTTTAGAGCAAGTTCAGGTCACAGTGAAAACATCCTACAGAGTAGAAACGTCTTAGTTACACAGCAGAACCGCAGTTGTATTTGATGGACTTTGAGGTTTTCGTTACCTTTGGTGAAGGAGGTCGGTTCTCGTCGTCGGAGAACGAGGGCGAGCGGGGTTTCCGTCTTCGGCGTGTTGGCCTGGGCGTGGCCGGCGGGGAGGGGGACGGCGTGGCGGGCTGAGACTTCCCAAACGATGGTTCAGAATCCTCCTGGAGATCGTCCTGCAGCTCAGAGCCGGAGTCACTCAGGGAGTCATCTTCATCCAGATCTTCTTCCTCTCCACTGCCCTGTGAGCCAAACGCAAGGACAAGTCTATTAGGACGGATTCAAGTTAACCGCCTTGGTTTAACATTTCATGACGTACGCTTCCTTTAATATAATCCTTCACGAAGAAAATATCAGCGTGCAAATGTGTGCTACCTGTGGAGACCCAGCAGGCGTGTTGTCCACTGAGGCTGAGGATCGTCTCTTCTTGTGCACAAAGAGCTGCTTCCTCCTCTTCCTCCTCCTGCCTCGTCGCTTCACCCCCCCCTCCAGATTGGTGTGGCCCCCGGGTGGACGTCCAACACGCTTGGTCTTCTTCTTCCCAGAGTAATATGCTTGCGAAAAGACAACAGGCTTATCGTGAAATTACGCACGTCTGTACGGTCTTGAGACTTCATTCAGAGAGATGGACATTGATTGATCAGACTGACTTTGAAGAGGACGTAAAAGCATGTCTGTGGAGGAAATCTGCTGTCTGGAGCAAAACTAAAACATGAGTAAATGTCTGCTGCTATCAAATTGCATCACTTTCCTCATCCCACAAGAGCAGGGTCGAGTAAAGCAACCGACGAATCAGTGGCTTTGTGCTGTCAAAAAAAATAGTTCAATAGAAGAAAAAGGAGGCCAAACCATCGATTCACTGCTAGAAGGCACCATTAGAGGTTATGTTAATCGTCCGCCCCCCGAGATCATATAATTAACCATTTGAAGTCTCGACAATCGGCGGTCTCCCGCTCTGTAAAGCACCTACTGTATTTGGTCTTGGTGAGGACGGAGCAGTTCTCTGAGCAGTGTTCCAGAACCATGCGAGGTCCAAACAGGTTGGGGCAGCACTCCAGCTTGATGCAGGTCTTCCTGCAGAAGTCCGCTACGCGGTCTACAGTGCGGACTATTTCCACAGTCGCCCGGTAACTCTTTCCCTTGTACCTGAAATAAAAAAAGCAAGGTTCAACAATTAATCATTTGTCATAACTTGTTGGGATTCCGCACGATATTGAAGCTTGACGAAAACGGCAGGAATATTTACTAAACAAAACATAAAACTGGTTCGGACTTCCCACTCACTAAAACAGTTTATGTTTGATCTAATAAAAGGTTGCGGCAACCAGCAACGTCTCTCTTAGAAGTAGTCCAGATGCTATCGCAGACTATTTAATGCTTTATTGAAGTGTCCTGTGTGCAGATATTTCCCCTTGTGCCTTCAAGCACACGTTTAATCCAGTTTCACACATGCTCAAACAGCACTACACTTCCTGCAGGTTCTCTACGGAGTATTTTGAGCTACGGATTAAAGCTCACTTGGCTTTGAGCGTTTCTCCATGGCCCTGCCAGCGGCTCTCCTGGTCCAGCTGCAGCTCCCTCAGCACACGGCTGGGCTTGTACGCAGAGTTTATCAGCAGACCCAAAACCTGGACACAAGACATGTGGAGGATTAAGGCCCGCGCGGGTTATCGGTCTTTAATTCTTTAATCAGTGCTACGTGTAGTAGTTTAACATCAAACAGCTCCCACATTCATGACCGTTGTTTGGCAAACTGGCCTCTACATCATGTGCCGTTGTTGTTGTTGGGATCGGCTGAGTATAGAAGATGCATAGCAAGTAAAATAATAGAAATTTTGACTGACACAGTATAACATGCTTAAAGAATCAATGAATAAATAGGACTGGCCGATACACACGCCCGGCTCCTGCATAGCGACATTCAGCCGCCACGCTCACCTCTTTCAGCACGAGGACACAGTTTCCCGGACCAATGAACTGAGGAAGCTCTGCGATGCGTCCCTTGTTAAGGTAAGGCCCGGAGAAACAGCGGTGGTTGAAGTAGATCTTGGGACAGCAGTATTTCCGGTTGCCCTGCCCTGCTGGCGGACACGCAATGAGACGTACGTTCTGGACTAACCACAGAGAGTCAACAGAAGGCGCGCGTCAAAGTTTGGAATCCTTCAATGGGACCCGTGACGCACCTGTCTCAGAGTGGTGGGCCATCTGCTGCTTGACAGTGTCAGGCGACGAGGACTTTGGGGGAATTCGGCTGTAAAGCGTCGAAAATGTAGTCAGATGTGGGAAGTGACACAAACAATTCAAACCAATAATCCCTCTTGTACTCACTGTTTCTCAGGCTGCACCACAGCGATCTTCCTCTCTTTCTCAACTGAAAAACAAGGACAGACGAATGTGTTCCCAGCCTCAGTGTTACATTACGACACTCACTTTCAAGTCAGGATACTGTCGGCTACATTATCAGCAATAGTCTCGTTAAGACTGAAGGTGGAGACGCGTGATGGTCATTAAAGGTGCACTGTGATGCGTCGTGTACCTGGCGGTTTAATCGGGTAGATGAGTGGATAGCCGTTCGTCTCGCACCAGCTGACGGGGAAGATGTCGAGGGAGTCCACGTGAACGATCAGCTCTGGCATGGGCTGCTTCAGTCCTGCACAAACAAACACACAGCGATTACACAATGACGGACAACGAGCAGCAGTTGAGATAACTCAGACCACATCCCTAAACCGGAGCAGATGGAGTGCCGATATAAAAGATCATATTAAGACAAACAGATAGCGGTATGGTAGGGCAGGTTTATGGTGCTTGCAGAAGAGCATCTGCACAAGATTGAACGTGTGGAAATGAAATGAGGAAGTTGTCCAGTGTGCAACACTAGTTTCCAAACAGTCAGAAGTGACCCATGTTCATTTTCCACTTTCATCCACCTGAAATAAACACATCATCTGGGTCCTGCTTCTCACCTTCCAGGCTTATCCAAACGTACTGGCCTTTGACCCTGGTGACAGTGGCCACGTGAATGTTCTCGGGTGACAGCAGGTTGATCGCCTCCAGTTTCATGGCTTCTTTGAAGCTGTGCTCACACTGCGCCTGGCAGGTAAACAGAGAGGGAAAACAGCGCTGGAGGTTTCTGCCAGGCGAATACTGTCAAAATAATGTTCTGTCTGTATGGAACACTGAACTACAAAATGTATTCCCCCCAATAGTAGAAGTAATTCAACGGCCGCAAACAGCCCCGATAACTGTCTGACTTGTCATTTTAAGGTATTATAGGTGTGAGAAAACCTCTGTCCCCAAACAGGATATTTCTGCACCAAACCCACCCATTTAACAAGCAGCTGTTACACAAAAAGTGGCCATGAGATACTTTATATGCTGCTACAGTATAATGCTTTCAGAGGAACACCTTCCACTTCCTCATTTTAAAAAAACAATTAAATACAGACAGAACTTCATAATATAATAACTCATAATATTCATTGAACATTCTGTTTCAGTTAAAATACCACAGCACTTATCATTACTTCCAACTCGGGCAACTCCTGCAGTAGCCCGAGTTGGAAGTAATAAAGAGATCTGACACATTGGTAGGCTAATAGTGATACTATTTTAATCATTCGTAGCACAGTTGTCTTCATTCAGCTGCAGTACAATAACCTACAATTTCACATTTAATTGCTATTTTGGGGAGGACTCCACTGGGAGCCGGTTTAAGCCGATCGCACATTGACCCGTTACTCAACAACAACTGTTACCAGTTTGTACAGTTTGTACCGGTGTGAACTCTGTGGGGAAAAAAAAAGCCTAAAAGCAAAAGGTTGACCTACAGTTGGGAAGCAATGTTGAGGAGCTGCCTCTGCTTCGCACTTTTTCAGGTAATCTGCCCAGTCAAAGTCTGCACCCTGGTATCCTGCACGATGATAAAACAAAGAAGGTGGAAAGAGAGAGAAACAGATAATGGAAACACATAAAAGACAGACAGACAGACAAACAGAGAGGAGAAAAGATAACATTCCTTACTTTCTGATACCAAGGATAACCAATTAAGTCAGTGGTCATTAAAAAAGGACGTCATGTGACACAGCAGACCTGGTGGAGGGCTGAGCGTCAGTCCGTTTTTGAGGCTCCACTGAGTGGGGAAGATCCCTGGACTGTCTCTGTGACACAGAAAGGACCTTGCAGAGCAATCCGACTCGTCAATACCACAAAGGTCGTCCATCTTCACAAGGAAGTACTGCTCATTGAACACCTGCAGCGGAGGGAGAGAGAGCGGTAATTTTAGGAAACTTTCAGAAACCGTTTTTATTACAGCTGTTGGGTTTTTAACCTTCAGTTGTGTTTGACTGAGTCACACCAAAGACCTCGGCAATTAGGTCAGGAAGCATCGACAACAGCGGTCAATAAGCAGCAAACAAAAGATAAACATTGCAGCACAGGGGACAGATTTGATAGGAAAGTCTGTTACCTTGGCGACCGTGGCCGGCCTGATGGAAATAGGAGCCGCAGGGTCAACAGCCTCCAGTTTCATTCCTTCTTTGAAACAATGGGCAGCGATGGCAGGCTGATCCTGTGAAAAACAACACACACACACACACACACGTTATTTCCAAAAAGCTCAGCTTTGAGCTACATCGTCCAGTTTAGTGGAGAACATCACAACTCTTTGCACAATGAATATTTATCAAAGCTTCCGTCGCGGATAATCAATACGCAGGGTTGTGTTTGGGTCAGCAGGGACCAATGAGAGCACGACAGTACCTTACTGAACTCTGCGGTCAGAGCGTCGTCCTGAGGCAGCTCACTGATCCGCAGTCTCACCTCTTCCCACTCTGCCTCTGTCCGCAGGGCCAGCAGGTCTGAAACAAACAAATGCACTCGAATCAGAGAGCTATTTAACGAGAATGGTACAACACAACTGAATTTTACACAGAACATAGCTTTTTTCATGTAATTAACTGAACCTTTATGAGGGGCTGGTTCTGGTTATGGGCATTAAATCTGGTCTCAATAATGAATGATCAAGCAAACCAAAAATATTGCTGACCACAAACATCTTTGATTCTTAAAAATGAGAAAATGTCCCCACTATTATTTAACTATAAAATAAAGTAGTACAAAGGGCTATGATTACTTCAAACGCTATGACATTTCCCAAATCAAATTCACCACTACTGCTCACTACTTTCTCCAAAATCGAGGCATCCAGGTACATTAAACATTAAATTCCTAGTGGAACCAGTAGGTAGATCAGCTGCGTCAGGAGAGAGAGAGAGATACAGCCTCCAGTGCTTCTAACAACATATTAACTGCATTCACCTGAAGAGCGTGACCTTCAGAACAATAATTTCATATTCCTGAAATCAATTTCAGGGTCTGCCGATACCATCACACTTTGAATTTGGGATAAAAAGTTATTAGAAAATACTGATATAAGTCACATTATAAAGTCGCGATTACAGATTCCTTTTGACGTATCGATCCTTTTTGAAATGAATCAGTATCACGGGATCATACTATATGATTAAATAATTGGCCATGCATCCGTGTATCATCCATCAAACCGGCATTTGGCAGTAAACCTCAAGATCAACACATCTGTTTTTTTTCCCCTTTTGTTTCTAAATATAAATATGACTCGCGTCAGTTCCACTGACCTGAGGGAGGCCTGAGGGTGCAGCCGTGCTCTTTGGCCCAGCCGGGTGGGTGGAGGCGTGGGTGGAGGTAAAAGAGCCAGAGGGTTGCGGGCGTGTCTGGGAGGCCCTCGGTGCCTAAAAGCCGCAGCTTCAGCCTCCCTCCCACATTCTCCTCCACCTCGGCAGCCCAGGCGAGCCCCGGATCCACGCTGTCCTGGAGCTCCACGTAGCAGCCGGCACACAGGAGCTCCACTGGGTCCCTCCCGCGCTGGGACTGTGTGTGTGTGTGTGTGTGGGGGGGGGGGGGTTGTAAATGAGAAGCTGATAGCACGTTCACACAAACACAAATGAACACACGCCTAGGCAAGGTGAGGAATTTGCACCCGGGAGAGAATGCGCTGCATGACTAAGTGGCAGAACTGAAGCACACTCACTGAAAGCGGACTAATGGCTCGAAAGAATTTCACAGGCTGCTCCTACAGAACATTTGCTTTCAGCAGCAACCTCGGTACTGTAAACAAAAGCTTGCAGCCTTTATAGACTTGGAACTTCACTCAGGTTACGCCTGAAAGCTTTCGAAATACCGACAAAGTCGCGTTAAAGATCAACATCATTCAAAAGTTCAAATTGTAAGTGTGAAGTTTTTTGCTCTGCGCTTATATCTTATCACAATGGCCGCAAACATACCGAACAATTGAATGAGGATATCCAGGATTTAACAGTAGCAAATAAAAGTAAAGCAACCTATGACAGTTGTAAAGTTGTGATCAACTCAGGGAATAAAATGTCAACTCTGTGTTTCTAATGTTGCATTTCCCTACTTTGCCAAATGGGATTTTACCTTCGTCAGATGGATCACATAAGCACACATACAGGAGTTCAAAATTCAAAAAGTCAAAGTCCTCTTTGTGCAACATATGTGCCAATGAATGGCTCGGGGTTCTGATCAGGTTTGCTCTCGGCATTGACAGACTGGAGAGCACATGTGGCGTGTGAGGACAGCTGCTGTGTGCCTCACCAGTTCCAGCAGGTTGGCAGGAGCGCTGCACTCCTCGGCCAGTGCCCTTTCCAGCAGAGCCTCCCAGTCCTGGTGCTTCTCGCGCACACCTGGAGTGGGCAGGGGGGTGGGGGGGTGGGACATGCACAGTGTACGCTGTTTAGTTTAATCACCAAAAAGCTGCTCAGGATCTGAACCGCAGCATTTGCTAAGAAGTAAGAATAAATATTATTAGTAATAATAAGTATTTGAGTTGTCGGATATAGCGCCTCCCGGTCGCATCTAAAAATGAACAGAGGAAATGCAGGGAAACTGCTTCAGCGCCATTTTCAGAACGACAACACAGCGGGAACACTGGTGGCCGCGCTTTATGAGACAGAACGATTCATTACTACGTGGAACGCAGAGCAAAAGCAATATGTTGAGTTCCACCAATAAATAGCACAGTACAAAAAAAGCAACTGTGTCTGCTCTCAATTGCTCATCTGTCCCTGAAGCACTCTCAGAAAAACAAAGCAAGAAATAGATGAAAATGTGGAATTTTTAAAAGTTACACTGGATGTACAAAGTTGACGTCTGCAATTTATCACGATGTGCGTCGGTCCTTTGCGCATCACCGTTGTCCCATACGATCACTAAGCGCTACAGGAAAGACGGACGCCGTACAACCTTCCGTGCCTCGGGGCGGATTACTACTTTCGCCACATTTCTCGCTGGCACCGCCCCCATTGCCTCACCCTCCGGAGGCCTGATGGTCTTCCCGTGCTGGCGGCTCCAGCCCAGCGGGTGGAGGTCCGCCGTCATCAGGTCGCACCAGAAGTCGGCGCGCCGGTCTTCCTGGTAGCCCTCGTAGCGCAGCAGCAGCAGCTGGCCACACGTGGTGATGATGTTGGCCACCCAGTAAGGACTGTCGGCCTCGGCACGCACACACACCTCCAGCTTCATGCCCGGGGTCAGACCGGTCTGCAGGCCCTGGTCCACCTGAGAGCAGGAACGGAAGAACGAAGACACATGGACGCATTAACTATCTCGGTGAGGCCATTTGTACTTGTATTCCGCAGCTGGTTACATAAAAGCCACTTACAGAAGCAGACAAAGAACACAAAAGAAGAGAAACGACTGCTTTTATTTAATGATGCCAGAGGCTTTTATTCCAATTGAACCCACCGGCTGGCACACAGCGAGGAATCAGAATTTATAGAAGCGTTATTACTGGGGCTGTCAACGAATATTCTATATTCAAATTTACATTCGAGCAGTTGTTGAGAACAGCTATCCGAATGTGGGTGGCCGCGCGCCCGTACTGACTACATTGCGTGAATAGAATAAACTAGACAGGCTACAACAGCTTCATGCACTATTTGCCGTTTCATGCAAAGGAAAAGTTGCGTGTTTACGGCACAGCTCGCTCGGAGCGTTCAATGTCATGAATAAAACTTAAAACTTAAACTTTCAGTTTGCACAAAACTCTTGATCAGCACTCGGCACTTGTTTATTGTTGTCGTTCATTTAAACCGCTTTGCGTAGTGAGCGAGAGAGGTCTGAGGTCTTGGCCGTTAGTCAATTTACTTTGTGTCGGTAATATGTTGTTAAATAGGTTTAGACTTAAATAAATGACCTATACAAGTAGTTATGTCTCGTTGTATTAATTTGTCCTGTTATTGACGCGCCTAATACTCAACCAGATACTCGAATATATGTGTTTATTCAAAGCAAATATTCAAATGTCATTTTTGAGCAATTTTGACAGCCCACGTTATTAGTGGTGATAATACGATGACCTCTGTGCTCGTGCCGCTGATTGCTTCACGGCGTCTACTGACGCTTCTAGGGGCTTAACTAGATGACACAGTTCCTCAAGTTCAGTCACACTTTCAGATTTAATACAAAGTTGCTAACTCGCTGTTTCTTCAGAACACAGATGCTTAGCAGCTGATAATGAATGTTATCCCGTGACGCGCGTTAGCACCCACATGTTTGAAGGCGTGATGCGGTACGGACACGGCTCCAGTCTCCTCCAGGTAGTCATCCCAGTTAAAGTCTGATGCATCCTGAGCAGAGTCCCTGTCTGGAAAACACACAACACATTCCTCCTTTACACATTACATTTTTATCTCACCGATTTCACGCGGCCGTTCACAGAGTAGATCTTACCAGACTCCAGCAACTCCTGACTCATGCTGGTGGCCCCTCAAGGCTGCAACAAGGAGCTCTGAGGAGGATCAGAGGAGAAGGGTTATTATCCGGCGAGAGAATGAAGAGCACAGGTCTTAACCTCTGGCGAACCCAGAGACGAAAAGCACCAGTCAGCTGCAGTTTACTATGCTGTGACTTTGAATATGCAGTTTGCAGGCCTCCACATTAGTAAATAGTCTGTGAACTCATTGTTCAGATGACGAGACAAGTTGTTGTTTGCTTGTCAGCCAAATTCTATCAGTAACAGAGACGGAGACTGGCTACAGATAGCTGCCACGTGAACAACAAGGAGACGCGTCTATCTACCCGCACGCAACGCGCCGACCAACAGCCACGGGTAGTTACAACATGAGTCGACATCTAAAACACACTAAAATACCAGCGGAAGGTCATCGAAGACTAAATTCAGCAGCCTTTATTTATAAACCCTGGCCCTTTTAAAAGCATCGAGCTTTTGACACATGGAACTGGCCGGGCGCTTTGTGCAGATGAAATGAGTTGGCGCAACAAGAGAGATGGCGTGAATGAGACAGAAGGGAGCGACAAAGGTGGAGAGGGCGGTGCACAGGGGTGCTGAGGATAGCTGCTCCGTCACCGCGGCTCCATTCAGCTGGCCTGTCAGGCCCGTCTTTGTCATGTCTGACGTCTCTATTAAAACCAGGGCCGCCATCAGAAACAACCCCCCCCTCCCCTCACCTCCCCTCCCGACGACCGGGGCTGCCACCGCGACCCCCGTGCTCCACCCGGATCAGCGCCACCTTTCACCCGCGACCCTGCCCCAGACTCCCTCTGTCTTTCTCCCCTTTGACACACACACACACACACACACACACCAGAGGGCCTTATTGTCCCGGGGGGGTCACACTCTTGACATGGGATTGAAACAAAAAAAATAAAAAAAGAGGTGGACAGAACTACAGGCCTTAAGTTAAGAAGTAGTATTCTAACGCCTGACGATGATCACGCATCATTTAAAACACTTCTGAGAAGAAACATCTCACACTTCGGACGGGAAGCTTTTTAGTATTTGCTCATCGTTCGGACAGACAGGAAGAACGGCGGCTTCCCCGGTTTCATATACAGCGAGCGCCACGCGTGTGTGTGACGACGGCTAGCAGCGGTTTGTCTGAGTCTTTCCGCACAGACCGGCAGAGACTGACTGAACCTGAAATATAAAAAAGGGCCAAATGTGCGCACACACCCACGCAAACACGCGCGCAAACACACTACATCCTCTTTTACAAGTACTCAGTGAATCATGGTCTCATCTGCACCGAGAGACAGCATTTCAAAAAACAAGCCTTCCTGAACCTACGAGGTCCCTGGTTGGGAAATGCAGACTAACAAATCACACATTCCTACACGGTGTTTGTATTCTACACAAATGTCAAAGCCAACTTTCGATAAAATGAAATGATTTGTTGAAACATTTCCCCCCAAAAACGTTATTTTATGGCATCTGCTGATCACCAGTGTGACATAAGCGGTAACATTGATACTCAGAAAAGCACCTTTTAGTCTGTCTAATGTTATCAATACGTGCCACTACAAAGCTTAAAGGTGCATTTAAATGAATAACAATGAAGCTTAACAATTAGCTTTGGTTTTATTGTGGCAGGTTGATTGATTGATCAGTCTTGAACATTTCCGCCTTCGCCCTTATAAAACTAATGACTGCAATTTTGCCTGTTGTCCTTCGCACTTAGAAGGGGTGTTTGAAAAAAAAAAAAAAAAAATCAGAAGCATCAAACTCATTCTAAACCATCAACACTGAACAGTTTGTTTCATAGGAACCATTTCTTTGCTCGAAAATAGTTTCCAAGGAAAGCCGTTACCATGGAAGCGTGTGATGACGATCCTGCTGAACAGCAGTTGAGCCTAAAAATATTACTTCAACTCACCTATTTTGTTACTGTGTGGTGGAAGAAATCTCATTGACTGACTTCTTCTTCTGGGACTTCAGGTCAATACCTCCAAGTGAGAAAATTTTGGGGGGCTTTTTTTTCTCCAATCTAGGTGAAATAAGGGCACTGAAACAGACGTGCGTACACACACTGAACAACAAGAATCCAGACAGAATAATTTCCCCCATGAAAGGCAAACTGCAAAGTGCCGCTTCAAGGCGTGAATAAAGTGTTTGTAGTTTGAAGCTGCGCAGCTTTCCGCGCTCCTGATGTCATATCTGTCAACCTGACTTCTCGTTCTGCCAACTGTCCTCGCTGCCTTCTAACCGCAGAACCCACAACAAGATGCTGAAAATGTCAACAACAACAAAAAAAATCCACCTTTACTCCACAACGCGCGCACACGTAACGACGAGGTCTCCTTCAGAAGCGACCACGCTGCTCGTGTCCATCGCATAGCGGCGCGTCCAACCGGGACACTCAAGGTGCACAACGCGGGGGGGGGGGGGGGAGGGTGGGCTGAATGGGAAATGACTGACGCCGCCTACAAAAACAAGACTCTGAACATTCCACCGTTATTAATAACCGCGTTTTCTCGCCCTCCCCAGTTGGACATCATGGAATCAAAAGTCCCAGATGACATCTCCCCCACCCACCAGGAAAACAACAGTGAGTCTCACACCTGCTTTGTGAGGAGAGACCTTTGAATCCGTCCATCGTGTTGAGCGTCGGTTGGTTTTGCCCGACAGGGTTCGGAGGCAGCGGCTCCCAGGTGGACTCGGCTCGCATGAACTTGGCCTCGTCCTTCGTGAACGGCTTCGTCAACGCGGCATTCGGGCAGGACAAGTTGCTCACAGACGACGGCAACAAGTGGGCTGTACAAGAACAAGGACCACGGTGAGCTACCACACTGCCGCCATCGTAGTGCCCGCTGACTCAGCGCGGATCTGTGGACTTCGGTGCATTCGCTGTGATTTCTGAATTTCCGTTT